CACCCCTGAGCCTGCGCTTTTCCAGGCTGAAGAGCCCCAGGGCTCTCAGCCTGTCATCGTCAGGTCTGTTTTTCTGACCTCTGATCAAGCACGTGGTTCTCCTCTAGACTCTCTCAAGCTTCTCCACATCCTTTTTGAATTGTGGGGCCCAAAACTGGATGTGGTGCTCCGCTGCAGCCTCACCAAGGCCCAGTACAACAGGTGAATGACGTCCCAGGATTTGCTTGGGAAGCATCTATGGATGCAAGCCAGTGTTTTGCTCGCTTTACTGTTTGCAGCATCACATTGAAGGCCCATGTTCATCTTGTGGTCAATGATGACCCCCAAGTCCCTTTCATTCTTAGTGCTAGCCAGTGTAGCACTGCCAAGCCTATAAGGATGCTGCAGGTTTTCCCACAGTTTAGTATTGTTGGTGAACTTGGCCAGTCCACTTCTGACTCCAGTGTCCACATCATTAATGAAGATGTTGAACAATACAACACTGGGCTGTCTGCGAGGTCAGGGCTGGGGCAGCCCCAAGAGCTCTGGAGCGACTCCCACCCACTCCTGGTTCTAGCCTGGAGGACTGGGCCCCCCACAGCTCCCAGCCAGGATGAGGGAGACAGGATGGACCGATGGGCGCAGGTCTTTGGGGCTTGGCACAGACATCAGGGCCCAGAGTTCTCCCAACTGCAGCGGCACAGCTGTGCATGCAGCCGGCTCGCTGCCAGGGCGTGATCCTGCCTAGGTACGACTGCAGAGCACAAACTCTAGTTATACAAATGATAATTGTTAATTCTCACTCAAATCACCTCTATAAAGGAAGTGGCCAGCCTAATATCTCTCTGTCGACCTGAACCTTCAGCCCAGCTCTAGCTGACAACTAACTGACTAAACGTGATAATAATGACAGACTGAAATGTGTATGCACAATACTGTATTGAAATGGAAACACAGCTCAAGAACAAAATACCATACAAACAGGAAGTGGAAAAAGAAACCACATGGAGACAAGAACAGCAGTAGGATTATGTACAGAGTTAGACATCAAACTAGCTTCTCCCTTAACCTTGCACCCTTCTTGCAGGTCGTGCACCTTTGCTTGGCACTGAGGTGAATCTGCCCCAAGATCAGAGCAAGCTCTTTTCCCCAATACACGGACCCCGCTGCCCACCTCCCGCTCAGAACGGCTCTCCCACTGGGAGGCTCAGTGCTTGGCCAAGGGAGGGGGGATACTTTACCCTTCCTAGCTCAGGGCTGCTCTTCCAGCCACCACCAGCTCACTGGGTTGAACTGGGGCTTGCCAGCCCACATGCACTGGGAGGGCATTCAGCCACCCTGGCTCCCACCCTCACACACAAGCAGGACCACTTACATAGACTGGAAGCACCAGCCAAGGGCTCCAGCTTCCACTTCAACTCTCTTCCACTCCCTCCTCCTCACAAAGACTTCTTTAAGGAAAAATGTTCCAAAGTCAAATCATTGTGAATCACTCAAGATCGTGACCCATACGCGGCCCTGCTATGGGCTGCAGCAAGTGGGGACCGATAGCAGCTGGGAGCAACGAGAGGTCCCGGCTTCCGACCCCCGCTCCGCCGTGTGCGGGGTGTCTGCGGGGCAGGGCGGGGGAGGCGCTGCCCCTGGCCCAGTGCGGGGTGGGGCTCGGAGCCGGGAGGAGGCCGCAGGGGCTCCTCCTCTGCCCGGCAGGAGGGGAAAGCCCCGGGCTCGGGCAGTGTTGCTTGTGCGCGGGGCGGGCTGAGCACCTGGGGGCTGGCAAGGCCCGGGGGCAGGAGGGGCCCCCAGAGGCAGCACCCTCCACCCCCTGAAGCCATTCAAGGCAGAGCTGGGACAGGAGGAGTGAGGGAGGCAGCTGCCCGGGTTCATGGTATCACCTGGGGAAGGAAAAACCACTGCACTGTGGGCTTTTGGGATTTGAACACAGGACCCTTCGCACCTGAAGCAAAAAATCATACCAGGGAAGGTTTCTCTAGGGCTCTGCTCCCACTCCAGGGCCATCATCAGGCCATGGGGAGCTGGGGCCCAGCTCTCCTACCCACCCCATCATGGCTCCAAGCTCCCAGTGCCAGGGAGGAAAGGACCCAGCTGGAGCTGCAGTCCTCCTGGAGGGGGAGGCTGATGGGGCCCAGGGCTGCTGTGGAAGGTGGGGGGGTGCATCCTTCTGTGCTGCCCCCTGCCCAGCCCTGCGGCTGCCAGGAGGAGGGGAAGGTGGGGCAGGAAGGTTCAAAGATGAGGTCTTTTCTCCCAGAAGGAGAAAACACCTGCTGGGACCAGCAAGGAGGGGAGGTGGCACTCTGCTCAGTCTTCTCCCTGGCCCCAGGAGCAGGTGATGGGGCACCGGGGGGGGACAATGGGGGAAAGCAGGTGGGGCTGGACGATGGGGCTCCCTGGCCTGCATCCAACCCCCCTGGGATCCAGGGGATGATCTTTGCTGTGGGTGCCAGAGGTTTCCCGGTTCCAATCTTGGATGAGGCCGTGTTGTCTTGCCTGGTGGCAACAGTTCCAGCCCCCAAATCAGTCCTTGCTTGAACCTGGAGGCAGACAAGGATGGATCTCCCCAGACAGGACCAGCATTTCCTTCCAGCCCTTGACTTTGACAGCCCCACCCCCTGCATCCCCCGCCCATGTCATGCACTCACCTCCTCAGAGGCTGCACACAGCCCTTGGGCCATTTCTACCAAGCAAGTGGGTGAAAGAGCAAGTCCTTTGGGCATTAGAGCCCAAGATCTCCTGCACCCTTGGCGGAAACGAAGCTGGAATCAGTTTGCAGATGGGACCAGGCTGGAAATTGCACACTGCACCCCAGGTGAGACTCCCCTCAACCGGGAGCTGAGAGCACTGAGCCACGGAGACACAGACAGTGCCAAACCTGCAGCTACTGGAAGCCTCAAAACAGCAGCCTCTTTGTGGCTCATTGGTCTAGGTCAGGTATGATTCTCACTTTGGGTACTTCTCTTGGACTCAATGGGGGCAACAGGCTCCACCATCTGGGAAGTTTGGGGGTAGCTGAGAGATAAGATACTTGTCCAGGATATGGACCCTAAGACATCTTGCACCCTAAAGATGCAGCTGGGAGGGTCAGGAGCAGAGCAGCGGTCAGCCCAGCAGCTCCCGACTGGGCCTAGAGCTGTGCCGGGAGGAGTGGAACAGGCCACTTGGGGAAGGGAGGTCTTGGAGACCCAGTGGGATACAGAGAGTGGGGACCTGCCATTCACCAAGCCCCAGAGAGCTGGGAGGGGCTGTGGCAAGCTGGTTGGTTTGGGGGTGTGATTCCCACTGAGGTGCAGAAGTCCTGAGTTTAAAACTTAGCTGAGCCCTTTGTATATTCTCTTCTGTAATGGGGCCCCCACCCTGTTACTACAATGGGAAGGGGGCCTGGCTCCCTCACCCCCACCCAGCCCTCTACACTATTCCCTCTTCTACCTTGTTGTGTGTTTATCAGTGTTTTGTTCCCCTGGTAGACAGCCCTTCTCCCTTTCCTCTTGCCTCCTTCTACTTCATCTCTATCCCCTCTCCCTCCCTGTGCTCTGGTGGTGACCCCTGAGCCAAACCCAAAGGCAGGGGGGGCCTGCAGCAAGATGCCCGCTGGGTCCAGGTGTAGGCAGAGCCTGAGCTTGAGATTGCGCTGTGTGGCCCTGGAGGTGCTGGCATCTGAGGTCACAGGAGTGACCGGAGCTGAGCCAGGGCACTGCAGCCCTGAACAAGGGCTGAACAAGAGTAAAGCTGGGCCAAGTCAAGGGAGGAGCCTTGCAGAGACAGGAAAGTTCTCTTCCAAAGCGAGCCTTGCCCTGTGAGCAGCCTCCCCTACACATTTCAACACCATGGTGTGGTGGGTGAGACTGTTGGCCAGGGGAGAGGCTGGATGGTGAAGGCACAGGCAGGGCTCTAGAGTCCAGCACCCTGCAGCAGCACTTGCAAGTGGCCCATACCTTGCAACACAGGATGCACCAACCCACCTGCATGCGAGACCCCACAGCTTCCTCCTCCAACCTCTCAGCCCAGCTGCCGCTGCCCCGCAAGGCGCATGCACTGTCTGTGTGTCTCTATCAGTGCCGGTTCCCGCTGTCCCTTTCTGACTTCACCTGGGGAAGCTCAGAGGGGCAGAGCCACTGCCCCTTCACTGGGTTCCCTGCACCAGTTGCTCAGACTGGTGAAAAAGCCCCAGGCCTGGGGTCCATGCCAGGCAGGGAGGGTGGAGAAACTGGCTTGGTGGCAGAGAGTAGAGATGGATGGTCCCAAGCAAAGAGGTGGGGAGGGCAGAGCACCCTGAGGCCCAGCCTGCAGTGCCCAAGTGATCCGTCCTGCTATAGCAAGGGGGCAGTGGGGACTGAGTCAGTACTGAGGGTTGGCCCCAGGCCCCGCCATGAGAGGGAGCTTCACTACCTTCCAATGGGCAGATGTGGACAGCGGTGGCCCTGGGCTCCTGTAAGGAGGGGCTGTGGACCAGCAGTGGAAAGCCCAAGCCCTGACAACTCCAACCCCTGCATCTCCCCCACTGCTCAGCAAGGACAGCAGGCACCCTATAGAGGAGCGATCAGAGTGCCGCCCACATCCCCAGTGTCACAGCAGACTGCTCTAGATCAGCCCATCTTCACGGTGCCCTCCAGTTCCCTCTGTGCTCGCTCAGACACTGCTCTGACCCTCTGGACCATTTCTCTTCCCCCATATGACTCTCAGCACTGCAAGCCTTCCTGGGGGCCATTGGGGAGGGCTGCCAAGGGGCCAGCTGCTGTGGAAGGAGGGAACAGGTAGGAGGCTTGGCTCCCCCCTTGGTCACAATGTGCAGTATCCAGCAAAGATGGGAGCAGGGGACCCAAATGGGCCACACTAGGGAAGGACGTGGACAAGAGCTGGTGAGTATCAACACTACCACCTTTATTATGGCAGCCCAGAGGCTGCCCCTGTGCCTGGGGATGATGCAAGGACAGCCAAGACTCTAGGCTTCATGCTACAGCCCCAGCTTGATCCCCCCGCCCAGCCCAGCCCAGCCCGGCCCAGCCCAGCTGTGGTGTTTCCCAGGTGGGTGCAAGATGCAACCCTGCCTCCGTCCTCAGCCAGCACCTTCCTCCTTAACTCTATCACATTCTGGTGGACTCTGAATGACCTAGAATAGAACAGGAATGAGGCTGTGACTTGTCATCCAGGGCCTGAGGTCCATTTGCCTGGAAAACCCAGAGCCTCTGGGCTTCCCCATGAGCCAGGCAGGGCTGTAGGCTGCACTGAGCTGCCAAAGCACAGTGGGGGAGTGCAGGTGTCAGGCTGAAGCCTGCTCCTAGGACATGGGGTCTTGGGATGGGAAAAGGGATCGGGCTGGGGGAGTTGGTCTGGAGTCAGGAGTGTGCCCCGACACGTCACTGTGTGTGACTCGGGCATGATAGGAACCCATGTTTTCCATGGGTCTTAGGGCTGAGAGCACTTTGCTTTCCCCTGCCTGCCCAGGGGTGACCAGAGGAGACATGCCCATGACTTGCTGCGGGTGTCACCACCCTGGCCTCACCCCGTGTTGCTCTGTCTTCGCCTGCCTCCTCTCTCCTCAGGTCTTGGAGGCTCTGGAGGGCTCTGATGGACCTAGAAGACAAGTGAGAATTTTGCTGATGGCACTAATCTGTGGGGAAGTGCAGCCATGCACCAGGGTAGGCGGACCATCCAGGCAGACCTAGACAGATTAGTTAGGTGAGTGGGTGAGAACCAGATGCTGTTCAACACTGAGAAGTGTAACGTGCTCCACCTGGGGAGGAATAATCCACAACAAACTGACAGGCTTGGTGGTACTATTACTAGCTAGCACCATGTCCAAAAGGTACATGGAAGTCATAAATGACTGCAACATGAATATAAGCCACCAGTGTGATGTTACAGTCAGCAGAGAAAATGATACACTGGATGCATCAACCAGTGCATCTCAAGCAAAACTAAGGAAGTTATGCTCCTGCTCTTTGCAGCGTTGATGAGGCCGTAGTTGGAGTACTGCGTCCAGTTCTGGGTGCTGCACTTCAGGAAGGAGGTGGAGAAGCTTGAGAGAGTCCAGGGAAGAGCCACTCATATGATTAGAGGCATGAAGATCAAGTCATACAAGGAAAGGTTGACAGATGTGGGACCGTTCAGCCCAGAAAAGAGAAGACTTCAGGGGGAATTGGTGGCAGCTTACAAATAAATCAGGGGGCTAGGTGAACAATTATTCACCAAAGTGCCCCAGGGGAAAACCAGGAACAATGGTTCTAGACTCCTAGAAGAAGATTTCAGCCTGGATATAAGGAAAAATTTCTTTATGGTTCGTGTGGCCAGACTCTAGAATAGACTCCCAGTGCAGGTGGTGCAGGCACCTACCACAGAGATCTTCAGAAGGAGACTGGCCACACACCGTGCTGGATTATTTGACCCCAGTGATCTTTCCTGCCCAGAGCAGGGGCTCTGGACCCAATGATCTCACCAGGTCTCTTCCAGCCCCAAACTTCCGTGAATCTGTGTAACGAGCCAGTGACTTACCACCAGGGACACGCGGGTCCAGTCGTCCAATGGAATTGGAGCTGCTGGCCTTCCCCGTGAGCTGATGTAAAGGGGTCTGCTCCCAGGGAGGCTGTAATGCCCTGGAGCGCCTTCAGCCCTCATCCGTCTGCCTTTGGGCAGCCCCCCCTTCCCTCGCCCACTGCACGGTGGTGTCTTCAGCTCCTAGACAAAGGGAGGCTGCCCCAGGTTTTCCCAAGCCTGACCTTGCTCTCTTGAGCACAGGGGTCCATGGCCATTGTCTTACAGGCTAATTGCATACATCCCTTCCTTGGCCCCCTGGTCTCTATCTGTGACCCTGGTCTTTGCCCCTCTCTTTGGGCCCTGCCCCTGCTCATAGGTCAAGTGAGACTCCTTGCCTCCTCTGGCCCAAGGGATTTCTCTGGGATGCTGGGGATCAGTCCTGTGCATGTGTCTGCTGTCTGGGAACAAGGTCTGCTTACTGACATGCTGCTCCCAACTGTTGCAGCCTGGCATCCACACCCTCTGGACCTGGGTGAAGTCTCCCACCTGCAGGCCCTGGTCTCTGGGCATCCATGGACCCTGCGTGCTTGATCTTAGGGTTTTACCCTGGACAGCTGGTGGTGACCTGGCTGCGAAAGGGAGCGGGAGAGAAGGCGCCCAGGCCCCTGGAGAGCTCAGACCCCCACAGGATGCACACCCCCGCCCCCAGCCGGGCACCAGACGTGAAGTCCTACCGCGTGGAGTCTGAGCTGCGCCTCCCCCCCGTGGGGCCCTAGGACAACGGGGTGGAGTAGCTGTGCCGCGTGCAGCACACTCAGACCCCCACAGGATGCACACCCCCGCCCCCAGCCGGGCACCAGACGTGAAGTCCTACCGCGTGGAGTCTGATCTGCGCCTCCCCCCCGTGGGGCCCTAGGATGACGGGGTGGAGTGCCTGTGCCGCGTGCAGCACGAGGCCCTGAAGGAACCTGAGACCAGGTCCAGTGGGCAACTGCGGGTCCAAGGTAGGAGCATGCAGGCCGGGAGCATAGGGTGAAGCTAGGGTGGTGATACCCAGGTGCTGCAGTAACTCATGGGCATATTTCTTCCAGCTAGCCTGGGTGGTCAGGGAAAGCCAACAAGTGCTCTCAGCTCAAAGGGCCATGGGAAACAGGGATTGCTGTTATGGCCCAGCCACATGCAGTGACATGTGTGTCAAGGGCTTTTGGGTTGCATTAGCTCTCAGAAATGTTCTTTCCCTCCCGGAGGAGTTGAAGCACCAAGGAGCAGAGGGACACAAACCTGGAGGGGCCTCCTGGGCTGCTGCATCCAGGCTCCTGTGTTTCCAGTGCATGGGCAATTGCAGGGATTCCCAGCATCCCAGAGAAAACCCTGGAACCAGGAGAGGCCAGGAGTCTCACCTGACCTATGGGGCCCTAGCAGTCCTGAGCCCAGCTCCTGGCAGCCTCTGCCGTTGGCTCGCTTCACACATGCAGAGCAACAACAGGTGTCTCCTCTTGCAGACAGCCTCCAGGGGAATCCAGTGCAAGGGGTCGGGCAGTGCCATGGTGTCGCAATCCCTCTGGGCTGGGCTGGACTGGGTGATAGGTGGGACTGTCCCCCCTTGGACCAACAATGAACACAACCAAAGGGGGGTCCATAACCAGATCCCTTATCCTGCAACTGCCACTTGGCCTGTCCCATCCCAGCACTTACTGCTGCTCCTCTCGATGGGGGTCTTCAGGGCAAGGTGTCCCACGCGGCAGATGTACTCTGTCCCCTGGTCCCTGGACGTCCAGCGGGTTAGACTTGTCTCCTGCCGGAAGCTCTTCCCGTCCCGTGCTAAGACAACTGTGCCGGGCTCCACCCTGTACTCAGCCGAGTCCCGCAGGATCACAGCAGTGGCCTCCCCCTTGCCCCTCCGCAGCCAGGTCACGCTCAGATCCCCTGGGAAATGCCCCGCGATGCGGCAGCTCAGGGTGACCCCCTTCCCTGTGGTCATGGACTTGGTCCGGGAGATTTTGGACACCTGCGGGGGCTGCAGGAGACCTGGGGAGGGGAACAGCCAGATACAGGGACAGGCCCCGTCAGGGGAGCTGAGGCCTTCAAGGGGCTGCTCCCCGGCCCCTCACACACCACACAGACCCAACACCCCTGCAGCGGGGCTGGGACCCCAGGACACGGCCCCTCCTCACCCGCGGCCCTCAGGCTGAGCTCTCTCTCGCTCGGGGGCTCTCCGGGGCCGTGCTGGACGCACACTCGCACTCGCAGCTCCGGCCGGGTCAGGCTCCGGCTGGGCACTCTCCAGACGCTCGTCGCGGTGAACGTGCCGTCCGCGTTCTTGTCTATCTGCGCGGGGTCTTCCCTCCAGCTCCCGGCCCCGTCCCAGCCCCACTGGATCGGGGGCACCTCCCTGGGGTAGAAGTTGTGTAGCTGGCCAGCAAACGGCACCTTGTCGCGGGGGTCCCACTCTGGCAACACCTGGATCTCGGACACCTGCAGCCGGGCTGGGGGAGACAGTGTGGGTGTTAACAATCCCCAGCTCCATCCTGCCCCAACAGCTGCAGGCCTTGGCTGCACCCAGAGGTGGTATTAGGGCGCTGGGCACTCACCCCACACCCGGATCTCCGGGGACACTCGCTCCTCTCTTATACATTCAGTCTCATGGAGGAAGCAGCACCGGACCCGCGCCCCATCGTCCTGCACTGTGGGGGTGAAGGTCAGGGAGGACGTGAGGCGGGCCCCAGCTCTGTCCTTTTTCACTGTCCAGCCCTGGGGGAGGGCAGGTAACAGCGACTGGTGCTCGGGGTTCTCTTCATCCCTAGTGCTCTCAGGCACCGTCCTGTCCTCGCTGTGGATCCTCTCCCATGTCACGGCCACGTCCTCGGGGAATGTCCCCTCCATGGAGCAGCGCAGGGTCACCTCCCCGCCCAGCAGGCACCGCTCCGGCCCCTGCACCTCTGAGACGGAGTAGGAGACTGCCCAGCCTGGGGGTCTGACCACAGGAGGTCTGAGAGGAGCTGGCCCTGGCTCATCTGAAAGACATCAGTCTGAGCTGAGTGCAGAGTCCAGGGGAGGTGAATCCTGCCATGGGGTGGGGCACACGTATTACACAAAAGGCCTCTCCACCCCCCTGTCCATCGTTTGGGGTCCCCCCCCCCATGGCGTGTTATTGCTCAGAGTTACATGTGTGCCACGGGGAGCCCCACATGATAGGCGGGGTTGGCCGGGGTATGCTCCTTGCCGCCAGGTATAGCTCTGGCTGGAGCTGTGCACTGCTGGGCAGCAGTGCCTGTGCTGGCCATATGGGACCCCACCTTCTGCTGGTGGCTGCACGGGCTGTGGGCCATGGGGGGAATGTGCGGGGGTCCCCACCCACACCCTTCCCCAAACCCCACAAACCCCAAAGCCCATCCCCACAACCTCCCACATATACACACAACCTGCAACAGACCCTATGCCCCCCACACACAGCCATACCCTCTTGCAACAACCAAACACTCCCCTCACACTCCATCATACACACCCCACCCCCCATATAATCCTTGACACACAATGTACAAGGGGAAGACATCATTTTTGAGCTATAATGATATCACAGTGGGGGGGACAGTGGCATGCTGGTGCCCTGTCCCTGCCCATTCTCCCTCCCTCATTCCCAAGCCACAGCTCCCCCAGCCTTCCTACTGCCCCTCACTCCTGACCCATAGATCCCAGCCCTGCCAGGGCCCCTCACTCCTAAGCAGCAGGACCCTGCACCCTTGAGCTATGCTGGCGTCCATCACCCCCTGAGTCACAATCACCGCTCCATCCCTGCTGGTGCTCCCGACTCCCAACCCACAACCCTCTGGTGCTGCCGGTGCCCCGCATCTCTGACCCACTGTACTGCACCTCACCGGTGCTCCTCACTCCCAAGCCACAGCCCTCCCAGCCATGCTGGTGCCCCTCACTTCCGGTCCGCAGCCCCCTGCTCCCCACCAGCCCTTCTCCTGTGAACACAGGCACCAGCCCCGGTGCCACCACACCAGCCACATAGCTCCCTGCTTCCCTGAAAGGCCCCTCCTCCCTTTATAACACTGGAGCAGCAAATGCCTGTCCCACCCTGCTACAGCCCCTGACCTGCCTCCCCACTGCACACACACACTTACACTTTCCCTGCACAGATTGACCTGTATCCACTTGTTGGGCTTCTCCCACCTCCTGCCCCGCTACTTGCTGGCCCCCCCATGTGTGAGACCTGGCCCCAGCCCCAGACCCAAGCAGTTCCTTACTAGGGTTGGCGGAGACAGTTACGCAGTTAGCTGGAGGGGCTGTTGAGATCTCACTTTGGGGAGGTGGATGTTTGTGCCTGCTAAGCAGGTGGCGGAGGTCAGGAGGTGCTGTGAGGCCTTCCTTCCACCCCTGCACATTTGGCAGCTCCAAGGACCTGGCAGCTGCTGACCTATCCCCAGGCCCATCTCTTCATTATAGCAGCGGGTGCTGGCTGCGCCTGGCAGTGGTAGCAAGGGTGCTTGACACTCACCACACACCCCGATCTCCAGGGACACTCGCTCCCCTATGGCCTGTTTGGCCACTTTGAGGAGGACATACTGGACCCATGCCCCATTGCCCTGCATGATGGGTGTAAAGGTCAGAGAGGACATGAGGCGGGTCCCAGCTCTCTCCTCTGTCACTCTCCAGCCCTGGGGGAAGGCGGGTAACAGGGCCTGGTGTTCAGGGCTCTCTTGGTCTCCAGCACTCTCAGGCACTGTCCTGTCCTCGCTGTCGACCCTTTTGCATGTCACGGCCACATTGTCAGGGGACGTCCCCTCTGTGGAGCAGCACAGGGTCACCTCCTGGCCTGGACGGCACTGTTCCGATCCCTGAACCTCTGTGACGGAGTAGGAGGCTTCCCAGCCTGGGGGCCAGAGCACACGACACACAGGACATGTCAGTCAGGGATTATCTGGATGACACCTCCAGTCTGAGCTGAGTGCTGGAAACTGAGGAAGTGAATGCTGCCCTCGGGTGGGGCAGGCCTTTTGCTGGCAAGGCCTCTCCACCCCAGGTAGATTGCTGCCCACCTTCTACCCTCTCTGGCCCCTTCTCCCTAGTTTTGGCCCTGTAGTCGAATGACATCTTACCACTCCTCTTCTTCAGGTAGTAAATGGCTGCGACAGTCATGCCTACTGCTCCTGTCACAGTCACCAAGACAACTCTGGTCCAAGTGCTGGTGTGAGTAAACGTTGCACCTGATAGGAAGAGGACAGACCAAGGCAGAGCTCAGCTAGCAGGAACGCTCTATGGTGAAAGCAGGGTTTTACTTTAGAGCCCCAAGCCAGCCCCCACCCAGGATCCCAGGCAGCTGCAGAGGCAGGGCA